AATGCCAAACGCCGTCCTCGCTGGCATGCTGCCATTTTCGGCATAAACAAGGCTAATTATAGCTAGCGCAGTCTAGTCTGACTAGACGTAACATAGTCAATTTAAATCCGGTACTTTCTATTTAGTATGATATGTATTACGTTTGGTATGGTTACATAAAACAGAAGGTTACTTAAGGCAAAAACGAAAGGAGGTTGGTGGGTGATTAACACGAACATCTAGCAACCTAAAGGTTGTTTGTTTGAATCTCAGCACGGACAACTTTAGCATTTTAGCTAATTAGCAACTTTTCAACTACTTAATACTTTTCAACTACTTAGCATGTTAGCTAACCCTTCCCCTAACGTAACCCTTTTTGCCCTGTTAAGTTGCGTCAATTCAAATCTGGTATTAGGAACAAAAGAGGTCAACTCGACTTCTAAAATATACTAGTATTTTAATTAATGCAAAACCTTCAATGGTAAATATGACGTTCGTATATACGGGTCCACTGAAATACCTCGCAGGGCACTCAGAGAACTAATCCATTGTTACAGGTTCTTCTTCAAATACTCTGACAGAGATAGTTCCCACTCTCTGCTGGCCAATCAGAGTAGAGACTGAGCGTGGTTTAGACTTACTCAGCTAATCCGTTGACGCACGGGCTGGTCCCACCCCCTTGGCGCTCCACCGTTCCCAGGCATAAGTTGCTATCATAATAACCTGTGGAGTTAGCACCCAAAAGACACCATTCCACTGTACTACGTTCAAGGACGGTTCACAGACAACAAAGAGGCAGTGTTCGTATCTGTGAGAAATACAAGTCTTATCTATAAGAAATACAAGTTTTATCTCATCCTAGCCCCTAACGTTCCTCACATGAATCACAGCCTGTTATGTGAAACAATTTCTATCAGTATAGTACAAACCTATGCTTATCATTAATGCATTCCTTCTAAGCTATTCATCACATACAGATCAAATTATGAGAAAACAAATCCCAACAGCCCCCATTTGCCTAAGCCAAACCTTAACCCTTTTAGCTAACCCTAGCCTTAACCCTTTAACCTACCTCTTAAACTTAACCCTAACCCCTAGCCTAGCTAACGTTAGCGAGCTAGCTAATGTTAGCCACCTAGTCACCTAGCTAGAATTCTTAACATATTTTACATTTAGCAAAAATCGTAACATATAATGCCAATTGTAATTCTTAACATATCATACGAAATGGGTGATGGACATCCACAAATTAATACATACCATAGGAAACGTAACATATGATACTAAATTGAGTTTCTCGGATTTACCTGCAGAATAATACAAAATGCTCTGAGACCATATTGCAACAACCCAACCCAACCAACTACTGGAACATCAACTTTTCTTGCAAAAATAACAAATTATAAGCAAAGTAGACAAGAATTACCTTTATTTTTTGGCATCATATCTGCCTAATTCTCACTTGAAACATTGTTTTTGTGTTTAAAAGGCTACATTACACATTCTGTTAACATCTGACACCAGACTGAGCTATTCTTGCAATTGGTAGTCTGACATTTCAGATTAAGATATTATATTTTTTCACGAAGTAGTTTGGATGTAGTGAACTACTTTTTCAAAGTAACTTTAGTTAAGTAAACTATTCTTCTTAATTGTAGCTTTATTGTAGCTTAACTTCTTCCAGTGTGAAGTAATTGGTAGCTTAGTAAACAATATTTTCAGAGTAGTTTCCCCAACTCTGGATAGATATGATTGATTTATCAATAGTCAATTCTACAATTACATTCTCATGATGTTCCAGGGGCCAGTTAGAAGAATGTTGACGAGTAAAATGTGGCGGTTGACAACCATATACATGCTTATATCTGAATGGATCATCAAATCACAAGAAATTACAGGTTAGTCTCTGCAGGTGTATTTCCATTCATTAATCATTGTTATACTGTGTAATAACTCATAATCCCAGGCAGATTTCCGTTCAAAATTATGTTTGTACAAGAATGTGATGGGCTGCCCCCGTGGGAATCGAACCCACAACCCTGGCATTGCAAGCGCCATGCTCTACCAGCTGAGCTTCATGGGACTACATTAGACTATGCGTGATTTTGTTTGTGGGTAAAATGAAGACAGAAGAGTCAAGTTAATGTCAAGTTTATTAGGCTATTGCTAAACCATCAAGTTCTTAGAAGAATCTAGCACAACGAAGAGAAAAGCAAGGAACAGAGAAACAGAAACATCACATTTAACAGAGTTAGTTCGTGTAGCTCAGTTGGTAGAGCATGGCGCTTGCAACGCCAGGGTTGTGGGTTTGATTCCCACGGGGGGCCAGTATGAAAATGTACGCACTCACTAACTGTAAGTCTCTCTGGATAAGAGCGTCTGCTAAATGACTAAAATGTAAATAAAGATGGAAGTAAGGTTTTATTAAGAGCAGTGAATATGTGATGAATATATTTACAAAAAAAGGTAACATTTGAGGCATGTGGTGAAAATAATGCATGGAACAAGTACTGTAATCAGAAAATGCGTTTTTATTCATTTATTTAAGCCTATAGGCTTTAGACATATTTTCAGATAAAAAGTATTGCCAACCATGACCCGAAAATGTTTGACTGTCCATGGGTAGGCTATGCCTAAAAGATGTGAAACGTGGCCCAGTGGGTGAGGAATGATTATGCATCCAGAGAAGGCAGCATTGTGACACTCCTCCCCAGTAAGCACACAAATCTTTGGCCGACATATCAATATGCGTAGGGAATATATACACTGCTCAAAAAAATAAAGGGAACACTTAAACAACACAATGTAACTCCAAGTCAATCACACTTCTGTGAAATCAAACTGTCCACTTAGGAAGCAACACTGATTGACAATACATTTCACATGCAGTTGTGCAAATGGAATAGACAACAGGTGGAAATTATAGGCAATTAGCAAGACACCCCCAATAAAGAAGTGGTTCTGCAGATGGTGACCACAGACCACTTCTCAGTTCCTATGCTTCCTGGCTGATGTTTTGGTCACTTTTGAATGCTGGCAGTGCTTTCACTCTAGTGGTAGCATGAGACGGAGTCTACAACCCACACAAGTGGCTCAGGTAGTGCAGCTCATCCAGGATGGCACATCAATGCGAGCTGTGGCAAGAAGGTTTGCTGTGTCTGTCAGCGTAGTGTCCAGAGCATGGAGGCGCTACCAGGAGACAGGCCAGTACATCAGGAGACGTGGAGGAGGCCGTAGGAGGGCAGCAACCCAGCAGCAGGACCGCTACCTCCGCCTTTGTGCAAGGAGGAGCAGGAGGAGCACTGCCAGAGCCCTGCAAAATGACCTCCAGCAGGCCACAAATGTGCATGTGTCTGCTCAAACGGTCAGAAACAGACTCCATGAGGGTGGTATGAGGGCCCGACGTCCACAGGGGGGGGTTGTGCTTACAGCCCAACACCGTGCAGGACGTTTGGCATTTGCCAGAGAACACCAAGATTGGCAAATTCGCCACTGGCGCCCTGTGCTCTTCACAGATGAAAGCAGGTTCACACTGAGCACATGTGACAGAGGTGACAGAGTCTGGAGACGCCGTGGAGAACGTTCTGCTGCCTGCAACATCCTCCAGCATGACCGGTTTGGCGGTGGGTCAGTCATGGTGTGGGGTGGCATTTCTTTGGGAGGCCGCACAGCCCTCCATGTGCTCGCCAGAGGTAGCCTGACTGCCATTAGGTACCGAGATGAGATCCTCAGACCCCTTGTGAGACCATATGCTGGTGCGGTTGGCCCTGGGTTCCTCCTAATGCAAGACAATGCTAGGCCTCATGTGGCTGGAGTGTGTCAGCAGTTCCTGCAAGAGGAAGGCATTGATGCTATGGACTGGCCCACCCGTTCCCCAGACCTGAATCCAATTGAGCACATCTGGGACATCATGTCTCACTCCATCCACCAACGCCACGTTGCACCACAGACTGTCCAGGAGATGGCGGATGCTTTAGTCCAGGTCTGGGAGGAGATCCCTCAGGAGACCATCCGCCACATCATCAGGAGCATGCCCAGGCGTTGTAGGGAGGTCATACAGGCACGTGGAGGCCACACACACTACTGAGCCTCATTTTGACTTGTTTTAAGGACATTACATCAAAGTTGGATCAGCCTGTAGTGTGGTTTTCCACTTTAATTTTGAGGGTGACTCCAAATCCAGACCTCCATGGGTTGATACATTTTTGTGTGATTTTGTTGTCAGCACATTCAACTATGTAAAGAAAAAAGTATTTAATAAGATTATTTAATTCATTCAGATCTAGGATGTGTTGTTTAAGTGTTCCCTTTATTTTTTTGAGCAGTGTAGTTTGGAGAGCGTTTGCACATTGGTAAGATGACGCCTAGACATCAGAATATAATGTCGATGCCTGGCCGACGTATAAACAATGTAAAACTGTAGAATTTAGAATGTATGCATTCTAAATACATCTGCAAGATGTCTTGCCAATGTGCTAATGCTCTCTATATTACATCTTCCCGATGTGTCATGTATACATCGTGACTACATTGGGCAGACGTGTGCTATCTGGGTCCCACTTTCGATGTCTACAAGATCTACGGCCGACTCTGTTATGCTGAGCGGCCATGTGAAGGTGCAGCGCGCATGCATTTCGACCTCCCACACTCACAGCCGCCCTCCCACTGACCTTCTAAATGGAACGCAATCTACTAACGATATACCGCTGTCAGGCCGACGTCGGCGAGATGTATGTGCGCTGTCTGGGTTAGTTATGGTTGCAAGGACTGAGCATCCATGATATCAAAATTATAGCTATTGAGGCTATACCATGCTTATTTACAATTACATTGTTTACAAACAATAGATAAAACAAGCTTATTTTGGGTTCTGATGGGTTATGACAGTGTATATAATGAATTGATGAAAATGGATTAACCAATCACAGATTGCCTCTTTAATGCGTACTGCAAGCTTGCAGGTGCCTTTGCTCTATTAACCTTTGACCTGAAAATACTGTGTACCATATTGACTTCCAGTGGATCCTCCTGAGAACATTGGGATTGATGATCCTGGCCACCTCGGGCCGCTCTACATCCACTGGACGGCTCCAGCCAGCCTGACCAACCTGACTGCCTGCTCCATGAGATACCACCTGGAGTACTTCAACACATATCAGAACAGATGGACTGTAAGTCACTGGACACATAACTAGACATTGTCAAAAGTGTACCTGCAACACCGGAGGGTTATCCTGGCAACACTTGTACAGTGTTGGCTGTCTGCCAGGACTGTGTGTTCTAAGGACACTTTATTCTTAAACGCAGAATAACAGAGAAGCGTGATACACCATCCATAAACAGCCTGCCAAGACCAGTTATGATTTACACTACCTGTCAAAAGATTGGACACCTACTCATTCAAGGGTTTTTCTTTATTTTTTTTAACTATTTTCTACATTGTAGAATAATAGTGAAGACTTCAAAACTATGAAATAACACATGGAATCATGTAGTAACCAAAAAAGTGTTAAACAAATTCAAATAGCCACCCTTTGCCTTGATAACAGCTTTGCACACTCTTGACATTCTCTCAACCAGCTTCATTTCAATTAACAGGTGTGCCTTCTTAAAAGTTAATTTGTGGAATTTCTTTCCTTCTTAATGCGTTTGAGCCAATAAGTTGTGTTGTGACAAGGTAGGGGTGGTATACAGAAGATAGCCCTATTTGGTAAAAGACCAAGTCCATATTATGGCAAGAACAGCTCAAATAAGCAAAGAGAAACAACAGTCTTTAAGACATGAAGGTCAGTCAATACGGAAAATGTCAAGAACTTTGAAAGTTTCTTCAAGTGCAGTTGCAAAAACCATCAAGCGCTATGATGAAACTGGCTCTCATGAGGACCGCCACAGGAATGGAAAACCCAGAGTTACCTCTGCTGCAGAGGATAAGTTCATTAGAGTTACCAGCCTCAGAAATTGCAGCCCAAATAAATGCTTCACAGAGTTCAAGTCACAGACACATCTCAACATCAACTGTTCAGAGGGGACTGTGTGAATCAGGCCTTCATGGTCGAATTGCTACAAAGAATCCACTACTAAAGGACACCAATAAGAAGAAGAGACTTGCTTGGGCCAAGAAACATGAGCAATGGACATTAGACCGGTGGAAATGTGTCCTTTGGTCTGGAGTGAACGGATGATCTCCGCATGTGTATTTCCCCACCGTAAAGCATGGAGGAGGAGGTGTGATGGTGTGGGGATGCTTTGCTGGTGACACTGTCTGTGATTTATTTAGAATTCAAGGCACACTTAACCAGCATGGCTACCACAGCATTCTACAGCGATACGCCATCCCATCCGGTTTGGGCTTAGTGGGACTATCATTTATTTTTCAACAGGACAATGACCCAACACACCTCCAGGCTGTGTAAGGGCTATTTTACCAAGAAGGAGAGTGATGGAGTGCTGCATCAGATGACCTGGCCTCCACAATCCCCCGACCTCAACCCAATTGAGATGGTTTGGGATGAGTCGGACCACAGAGTGAAGGAAAAGCAGCCAACAAGTGCTCAGCATATGTGGGAATTCCTTAAAGACTGTTGGAAAATAATTCCAGGTGAAAATGGTTGAGAGAATGCCAAGTGTGCAAAGCTGTCAAGGCAAAGGGTGGCTATTTGAAGAATCTCAAATATTAAATATATTTTGATTTTCTAACACTTTTTTTCCATATGTGTTATTTCATAGTTTTGATGTCTTCACTATTATTCTACAATGTAGAAATAAAGAAAAACCCTTGAATGAGTAGGTGTGTCCAAACCTTTGACTGGTACTGTACATCGGAAGTCAATATTTCCCAATTATTATATCTCCTAAGCTCTGTCTAGATTTGTGGTTGACTAGCTGTAACTGCATTTAGCTTCAATGGAATTATACTGAGGGTTTCCTGTAAATGTAAAACAGCCTACAGCATTTTTAGGTGGAGTAAGAATGACATGAGAACATCATGAATAAATTGGAGATTTTTCAAATCTTTTCAATATGATAACTGTGGTTATGGCTCTAAGGCCATAGTAGTGGCCAGGTGCCTGAGGTATGAATAATATTAATGTGATATTGTCTGTGTATGGTTAGGTGATCAGGACTGTACGGACATGGTACAGTGCTCAGTTTGACCTGGAGAAGGAGGTCAGGGTGCGGATCTCCACCTTACTGAGGGGAGCCTGCACCAACGGCACTGAGCTCAAGAGCCCCTTCACAGAGATAGTCCTGCCACCCAATAACACAGGTGAGGTCAGGAGGACAATGTGCTTTTGTAGATATGGAATTGTTTGGATTAAATTACAACAATAGGCTGACAGATAGCGAGATAGCGTTCTTTCCTCTTATCATCCTATATGGGAATGAACAATGACAGGGGAGTGCTGTATAGCTGAAATTCTCTACAGGCACCATTATGGACAGAGGCGGAATGGGGCGGTTCGATTTGGTCGACCAGCTTCAGCCATCTATTAATCTCTTACCTCTTTTAAATTGCTTCCGGGCCCAGTTGGCTCCAGGGTCCAGGGGTTTGGCTGCGTGTTTTATCAGAAGGAGTTCATGGAGTGCACCTGGGAGACGGGCTTAGAGGAGCCAACCCAATCCCAGCACAGCCTGTACTTTTGGTAGGTCACCCTAAATGGGCACATCAGAACATCTCTCCTAATGTATAGCCTACCTACATGTCTGTACCTGTATATACTGGACAAATGTGACGTGTTGATGTCTGTGTGCTTCTCCAGGCATCGGGAGATGGAACAAGCTGAGGAGTGTCCTCAGTACATCCACTCCAATGGGATCAGGACTGGCTGCAAATTCACAGAGGAATCTCTCCCAGAATTCCGTGATTTCAACATATGCATAAACAGCTCCTCTCCCAAGGTGGTCTTGAGGTCGGCGTTCTTCTCCCTGCAAATTCAGAATTATGGTACTAAACACTCAACTTCACAACAAGGCATGATATGCCTCACCTATTCAATGCAATATTGCTGTATGTAGGATATTGCTCTTTTCAATAAACATTCTTCAGCTGCCCGTAAAGTTTTTTTTCTTCCATAATGTCCTTTGTTCATAGCATATCCAAACAGGTATTATCTACACAGTTTTATCTCCTAATCTTTCCTCCTGTCTCATTACACCCACTGGCAATGACATCATTATGTTTTCTCCTTTGTATTTTCTCCTGTCTTTGTGAACAGTACACTGACTCCTTTGGGTGTGTCTGAACTCTTTAGTGAAACCTGCAGCCATTGAGACCGTGCATCTGGAGGCTAGTCCAGACAGGCGGCTACAGCTGCAGTGGGAATTGCCCAACGAGAGGATTCCCAGACACTGCCTGGAGTATGAGGTGGAAGCCAGAGAGGAGGGCGTAGGCGGGCAGCAGCTGTTGGTATGCCCTTGCCCTATGTTTATTATGTGCCTGCATTATCTGAACTCATGCGTTCCTGACTTTACTATCCCTGACAGACTGAGCAATGGCCAAGTTGCTACCTGTTATGTCAGGGAATTACAAAATGTTTTGACACATAACGTCATGGAAGATAACCTTTAAAGAAGCAAATCATATAATTCTTGGTTAGAGAATAGACAGAATCTTTCTGAAGTTTTGTTCAGATCTGACGTTGTTCCTGTCACCAGCAGCAGAGGAACGTAACCATTGAGATGACGCTGACTTCTCTCTCAATGGATGGTGCCCAGAGGAAGTGCTTCCGGGTCAGGTCCAGGATGCACCACTACTGTGCTGACAGAGGCTTCTGGAGTGACTGGAGCCATTGGTCCTGTCACCCAGGTAACAGATTTCTCCATACAGAAATCATCTCCTGGTGTATATCCTTAAATTCAATTAATAGAGTTGCCTGTTTATTCTCCTCCATGCATATTCTTCCCCCTGTATATCTGCATATACACTGAGTGTACAAAACATTAAGAACACCTTCCTGATATTGAGTTGCGCCTCAATTCGTCGGGGGCATGGACTCTACAAGGTGTTAACAGCATTCCACAGGGATGCTGGCCCATGTTGACTCCAATGCTTCCCACAGTTGTCAAATTGGCTGGATGTCCTTTGGTTGGTGGACCATTCTTGATAAACACGGGAAACTGTTGAGCGTGAAAAACCCAGCAGTGTTGCAGTTCTTGACACAAACCGGTGCACCTGGCATCTACTACCATACCCCGTTCAAAGGCACTTAAATCTTTTGTCTTGCACATTCACCTGCTAAATGGCACACATACACAATCCATGTCTCATTTGTCTCAAGGCTTAAAAATCCTTATTTAAACTGTCTCCTCCCCTTCATCTACACTGATTGAAGTGGATTTAAAAGGTGACATCAATAAGGGATAATAGCTTTCCATAATGTTTTGTACACTCAGTGTATTTCCTGTAAGAAGGAATATTTGAACCTGTCTCTTTCCCTAGATACAGAGTCAGATGCTGTGGTGGTCTGTGCCCTGGTCATCGGGATCATCATCTCTATGTTGATCCTGTCTCTGTTTGGGTGGGCACTATGGAGAAAGTGAGTACACACACACACACACACACACACACACACACACACACACACAACCGTATAGTAAACACTAAAATACTGGTGAAGGATCATTGCAAATCTTTATCTACTCTCTGTCTCTTAGGTGGAAAGCCAGAGAGGGGAAAAGGATGCCTTTCAGTCCCCTGCACAAACTGATGGAATATTCCAAAGGACTCTCTGCTTGCAGTCATTTCAATAAAACGAGAGAACCAGTAGTAGAGCCTTTGCAAGCATTGCCTTAGGGCAGACGATAAAGAGATACGAGTTAGACAGGTGATTGAACTAATTTGAAACACACATGCACACATGCTCACACACACGCAAGCACTCACTGACACAAAATGAGGATGAGACAGTAGAGAAGCACTATCTCATTTCACATTCAAGACAGAATTGTATTGACTTGTTTGCTGATATTAATCTCTTATGTACCGATATGTTCAATTCAAGTGTTACTCAGTAGAATATTAAATGTTCTTGCCAAACCATTTACGTAATGTAAAACTCCAGGTATTACGTTACACAATATAGCCTTAAAAAATGCCACAGCTCTTTCCGGTTTGTTTACTTTCAACATGTATTTTATTTCTATCACAACTATACTTATTGGACTCGTTTTTTTGTAGTTGTAGTTCGATGCCAGTCGAATGTATCTCTTAAGTTCTTTGCATAGAATTCCCGGGCTGTTAAAATTGAATGCATTGGATGGTGTTGAACTAATGTTATGTCATGTTTTATATATTTTTTTTGCATCTATACCTATAAAGATGTGTTGTTTGGTATTATTTACAGTATTGTATTTGCAGTGATTGTTGTTTCAGAGACCTTGATATGTATGTTATTTGGCACCATCCTGTGTCAGGATGACTGTCCTTCAAGTGTATATTGTTGCTCTTGCGATGAAATGTTGCTGAACTGTTTTATGGACATATTTATCATATCACGAGCATGGAAAAATGAAAATAAATGGCAGTCGTCTTGACTTTGATACAGAGGAAGATAAGGATCCATCATCTCAGACTGTCCCATGTGCCCATGCAGATCCAGCTCCCGATCTGGAGTCGTTCCCAGAGGAAGGGTTCGGCTGTCTTCACCCCCCTTCTCTCTTCTGTCCTCAACCTGGGTTGGTGCTTTGGCCATTGGGTATGATCTGTCTCTGCTTCCCCTGGCAGTGGTGGAAAAAGTAAACAATTGTCACACTTGAGTAAAAGTAAAGACACCTTTAATAGAAAATGACTCAATTAAAAGTGAATTTCACCCAGTAGAATACTACTTGAGTAAAAGTCCAAAAAAATAATAGTTTTAAATATACTTAAGTATCAAAAGTAAAAGTATAAATTATTTTAAATTCCGTATATTAAGCAAACCAGACGGCACCATTGTCTTGTTTTTTTATTTACGGATAGCCATGGGCACAATCCAACACTCAGACATAATTTACAAAGCATTTGTGTTTAGTGAGTCCACCAGATTAGAGGCAGTAGGGATGACCAGGGATGTTCTCTTGATAAGTGTGTGAATTGGACCATTTTCCTGTCCTACTAAGCATTCAAAATGTAACGAGTACTTTTGGGTGTCAGGGAAAATGTATGGAGTAAAAAGTACATTATTTTCATTAGGAATGTAGTGAAGTAAAAGTAGTTAAAAATAGAAATGGTGAAGTACAAACACCCCCCAAAACTACTTAAATAGTACTTCAAAGTATTTTTACTTACGTACTTAACACCACTGCCCCCTGGTCAGCATGTCCACAGATCACTTCCACTGCAGGGTGACTTTCTTGGGACTTCTGACAAGTTCAATCACCATGTAACCTTTTTTTTTTTTTTTTTTTTTGGGGGTGGGGGGGGGGATGGATCAGCTTAATATTGCAGATGGATTGTATCTTCTATCAATGTAATTGTCTGCATCACTTCCAATCCCCCATGTTTTTTATATATATACAGTGGGGAAAAAAAGTATTTAGTCAGCCACCAATTGTGCAAGTTCTCCCACTTAAAAAGATGAGAGAGGCCTGTAATTTTCATCATAGGTACACGTCAACTAAGACAGACAAAATGAGAATTTTTTTTCCAGAAAATCACATTGTAGGATTTTTTATGAATTTATTTGCAAATTATGGTGGAAAATAAGTATTTGGTCAATAACAAAAGTTTCTCAATACTTTGTTATATACCCTTTGTTGGCAATGAAACAGGTCAAACGTTTTCTGTAAGTCTTCACAAGGTTTTCACACACTGTTGCTGGTATTTTGGCCCATTCCTCCATGCAGATCTCCTCTAGAGCAGTGATGTTTTGGGGCTGTCACTGGGCAACACGGACTTTCAACTCCCTCCAAAGATTTTCTATGGGGTTGAGATCTGGAGACTGGCTAGGCCACTCCAGGACCTTGAAATGCTTCTTACGAAGCCACTCCTTCGTTGCCCGTGCGGTGTGTTTGGGATCATTGTCATGCTGAAAGACCCAGCCACGTTTCATCTTCAATGCCCTTGCTGATGGAAGGAGGTTTTCACTCAAAATCTCATGATACATGGCCCCATTCATTCTTTCCTTTACACGGATCAGTCGTCCTGGTCCCTTTGCAGAAAAACAGCCCCAAAGCATGATGTTTCCACCCCCATGCTTCACAGTAGGTATGGTGTTCTTTGGATGCAACTCAGCATTCTTTGTCCTCCAAACACGGCGAGTTGAGTTTTTACCAAAAAGTTATATTTTGGTTTCATCTGACCATATGACATTCTCCCAATCCTCTTCTGGATCATCCAAATGCACTCTAGCAAACTTCAGACGGGCCTGGACATGTACTGGCTTAAGCAGGGGGACACGTCTGGCACTGCAGGATTTGAGTCCCTGGCGGCGTAGTGTGTTACTGATGGTAGGCTTTGTTACTTTGGTCCCAGCTCTCTGCAGGTCATTCACTAGGTCCCCCCATGTGGTTCTGGGATTTCTGCTCACCGTTCTTGTGATCATTTTGACCCCACGGGGTGAGATCTTGCGTGGAGCCCCAGATCGAGGGAGATTATCAGTGGTCTTGTATGTCTTCCATTTCCTAATAATTGCTCCCACAGTTGATTTCTTCAAACCAAGCTGCTTACCTATTGCAGATTCAGTCTTCCCAGCCTGGTGCAGGTCTACAATTTTGTTTCTGGTGTCCTTTGACAGCTCTTTGGTCTTGGCCATAGTGGAGTTTGGAGTGTGACTGTTTGAGGTTGTGGACAGGTGTCTTTTACACTGATAACAAGTTCAAACAGGTGCCATTAATACAGGTAACGAGTGGAGGACAGAGGAGCCTCTTAAAGAAGAAGTTACAGGTCTGTGAGAGCCAGAAATCTTGCTTGTTTGTAGGTGACCAAATACTTATTTTCCACCATAATTTGCAAATAAATTCATTAAAAATCCTACAATGTGATTTTCTGGATTTTATTTTTTTCAATTTGTCTGTCATAGTTGACGTGTACCTATGATGAAAATTACAGGCCTCTCTCATCTTTTTAAGTGGGAGAACTTGCACAATTGGTGGCTGACTAAATACTTTTTTTCCCCACTGTACTCCCCTTTATTACTTTTCAACCATTCCTGGACCTGTGTCCAAAAACAAGCTACAAATGGACAGAACCAAAACAAATGATCTAATGATTCTGTCTCTTCACAGCAAAATCTGCAGAGCTGGGAAGATTGTATCCCCCATATAAATAACATTCTATTGGTAGCAATAATTTTATATAATAACTTAAATTGAAAGATTCAAATTTTTGAATCCAGTGTCGTTTTGCGTGTCAGTTCATAAACACTATGCCATGGGATCGGTACGTCAAAGATCTCTTCCCAACTATTTTGCAATCTATATGGGACGGCTGTCAATCCTTTGGTCCTTGAGTGAAACTGATATACTTTTTTATTTATCACAGTTTTCCTTAACCAATTATGTTCTTTAATGCAAGGCCGACAGACAAGTTCCTTACTTTCTCCCCCTTCCGCTTTCCTCTTCCACTTTTGCGGTAAGGCTGCAATTATTTGGTTGTAATTTTGGGTAGAGCAGACATTTCCATATGTTTTTGTTAGCTGCATGTGCGACATAACTCCACCAGTCCTACCGATGATATCATTTACGAAGATTATACCTTTTTTAAACATTCTGTCAAAAAATAAAGTTTTTTTGTCAATTAGTATATTTGAATTTAACCACAATATTTGTTGCATTATTTGTTCTGTCGTTTCTGGAGGATTAAATTGAAATTGCAACCAACTTTCCATGGCTTGTTTTAGAAATAGTGATATTTGGGAGATGATTTCCTTTTCAAATAACTGCAAATGAGTTGTTGTAATCTGAATAAAGGGAAAAAGGCCTTTCTTGAACATTGGGTGAGACAATCTTACTAATTTACTTGAGAACCAGTTCGGGTTTAAGTATAACTTTTGTATGACTGAAGCTTTTAGTGATAGGTCTAATGCTTTAATATTCAATAATTTCTGTCCTCCGAATTCATATTCATTATATAAATATGCCCTTTTAATTTTGTCTGGCTTGCCGTTCCAAATAAAATTGAATATTTCTTTCTCATATAATTTAAAAAACTGTTCGCTAGGCGTAGGCAAGACCATAAGCAAATAGGTAAACTGGGATAATACTAAAGAGTTAATCTGGGTGATTTTTCCACAAATTGACAGGTATTTTCCTTTCCATGGTAGTAAGATCTTATCTATTTTTGCTAATTTTCTATAAAAATGTATTGAAGTGAGATCATTTATTTCCTTCGGGATATGTATTCTGAGTATATCCACATCACCATCAGACCATTTTATTGGTAAACTACATGGTAAGGTAATTTTTTTTTTTAGTGATCCAATACGTAATATAGTACATTTGTCATAATTTGGTTGTAATCCAGAGAGGTTAGAAAATGTATCTAGATCCTCTATGAGGCTGTGGAGGGATTCTAGTTGTGGATTTAAAAGAAAACATGAATCATCAGCGTACAATGACACCTTTGTTTTTAAGCCCTGTATTTCTAATCCTCTGATATTATTATTGGATCTGATTTTAATAGCTAACATCTCGATGGCCACAATAAATAGATATGCCGATAGTGGACATCCTTGTTTCACTCCTCTTGACAGTTTAAAACTTTCCGAGAAATAGCCATTATTTACTATTTTACACCTAGGGTTACTATACATGATTTTGACCCATTTTATAAGAGATTCTCCAAAATTGAAATGCTCCAGGCATTTATATATAAACCCCAGTCGAATTTTATCAAATGCCTTTTCGAAGTCTGCTATGAATAGCAGGCCTGGTTTCCCATATTTTCCATAGTGTTCTATTGTTTCCAATACTTGCCTTATATTATCTCCAATGTATCTTCCATGTAAAAAACCTGTCTGATTAGAATGAATAATATCCGACAATACCTTTTTAATTCTATGCGCTATACATTTTGCTAGGATTTTTGCATCACAACACTGAAGTGTAACTTAGGAGAATTCTATTCCACCATATTTTCTCTCATAAATTATTGCACAGATGAAAACTGGTTTATCTGCAAATCCTAGTGATATATTTGTAATTTATTTTCAAGAATTCAATCAAATCTATTCATACATTTTTTTTACATTAATATTGATGTAATAAATACTAAACAAGTTGCTACTGTCACTGTGTCTTTTGTGTTCAAGGGTTAGTGGTACTTCACCCATGGGGTTCTGTTTTGAAAATGGTCAAGTTCTGTTTGGCTGTGTCTCCTCATTTGCCTTCCTACCTTCCCTGGTGATCCTGCCACACTACTTCCAGCAGTCTTTTCTCCCTAACCCTGCCCACCCTTCTGGACGAGGTAGGGGCACTGCTGGGCCTCAGCGCCACCTTCCAGATCCTCAGTGCCCTCATGTTCATCCAGGCAGCTCTGTCACTCCTTTACCACACGAATCCTACCACTAACACACACAGACCAGGAGGTAGTGCAACCATGGGGTGTTTCACCTCCCTAATTACAGAGTGTGGGCTTTTGGGGTGGTTACGGCTATGCTGGGCAACTTTGTGCCCCTACGTTTACCAGTTGTCTAAATATTTGTTGATCTTTCTGACTTACGCCGGGATTCAATCTAAGGCATGTTTTAGCAAGCTTGACATTTAAAACTAATTTTCTATTGTTCTGACATCTGCCGCGTTTAAATATTTGTGATCTTTAGGCGGGGATTCAATCTGCAGCATTTAACGTGAATGCGAACATGGGAACATTGCCTTTTTGAATCCAGGCCATACCGTTGTTAACATTGATCGTTCTACAAAAGCTGGCCGTTGATTCAGTGTATCCTATTCATGTCTCTTGTCAGATTAGTTTTGTGGAGGAGCAGTTTGTTGAGACCCCAGTGAAGGAGTGGGTCCTGCTGGTGTGCATCGGGGTGTTCTCTGACATAGTCCACCTGCTGTTTGGCAGGGTGGGAGATCTGCTCCAAGGGGTATGCAAGATATTCCTGCAGTTAACCACATCCAACAGAACATAGGAACTACTGTGAACTAGAGTGGAACACAGTCCTCCTTCATTGGGTTGTGACTTTTCATAGCAGGTTAGGAGAGCAATTTAGCTAACTCAGTCTCCTAACCTGCTACGTGAATTATCCTAACCTGCTGCGTAAATTCTCCTAACCTGCTACGAAAAAGTCACTTCCGGTCATAGCTGTGTTGCCCCTAGTCAAAACCGTCCTTCTCTGGCTGGCATAGGGAAGGTAGAGAATATACAATCCAGTAATCTGTGGTCTCTGAGGTTGTCCTTAGAACTCAATGTTGAACAGGATTATGTGGTGTATGAGGTTGTCCTTAGAACTCAATGTTGAACAGGATTAGAAGGAAACAGTGGTGGCCAAACCTCTTGAAACCTGTCCATGTCATCATCCTCCAGGCAGGCTCCTTCATGTTGCTGGGCTTGGCATCTATGCTGGTCGCTCTCTGTGTCAGGTTTGAGGGGCTAGTTGCAGTGCGTCTACTGCTGGGGCTGTGTGACGGCTGCTTCGTCACCCTCATGGCCCCTGTGGCCCTTGAACTGGTGGGCCCCCTGAGAGCCTCCCAGGCCATTGGCTACCTGCTGGGCCTCATGGCCCTCCCAATGACCGCCGGACCCCCCCTCGCAGGTCTCCCCTCCCTTCACCTTGTTTCGGACAGTAATAAAAGGGGCCACTAATCATGTGTCATAGTCTTAGATACTATTTCTTCATGTTTTGATGTGTGCTTTTTATCACATACACCCTGTTGTAACATTTAGTTGATCTATTGTTAAAATCATCCCTACTATATACACACATGAGCCTTATCGTACAATTGGTTTATCTTTGGCACTGCTTTTGCCAGGTGTGAATGAATCATCATGAAGTGCTCCTCAATGATGCCTCTCTGTGTGATACTGAGTCGTATGTCTTCACGGGACTACTCCATGACAGACCATGACCACTTTGGGGATTACCACATGGCCTTCTACCTGGCTGGGGTTCCTCCTCTCCTCTGTCCCGTACAGTATATTCTTCAGCGCCTGCAGGAGGGTCAGCAAGAAACTCTCCCCAGACCTGATCTGCAGCTTTCCCTTCCTGGCTCTGACCACCAGTCCCCTCCCATCCCTGGTCACCAGCTTCTCCCAACCAGCCCGGACCACCATCAGTTGCCACAACCCAAAGATGTTGCCAACAGTAACCAAGTGACAGGCCACTGCGGTAAAGACTCATCTGTAACACATTAGAGATCCCATAAGATGTAAATGGAGTGGATATATGGATTTCATATTTTCAAGGGGCGTTCGTTATAAACATCTTTAGACCACCAGTCTAAAGTCATTGAATTCTGAATAAGCACTGTACTCAAATGACCTATACCTGATTTGGGTATAGTTTTTTTTCTAATATTGTTGGCCTTAGAGCAGTAGTAGTCACTAATATTTCTGAGGGAGCCACTTTTGTGAAACAACCTCGCTGCACGAGCCTCCATACCCATCGGTGAAGGGGGGTTGGGAGGGGTTACAAAGTCAAATTGATTCATGCATGATATCAAATAGATTCACACATGATATTTAAGATACTATTAACATGGACCATCAAGCTATTTCATTCTCTATCTTAGGACACTTGGGGGGTATCAGAAACAAATTCGTAAAACTCTTTTGATGAATCTTTTGAATAGGCCTTATTGCTATTATCTCAATGAAAGCTATAGCACTAATATATGTCACAACAGGTCATTCCAAATTTCTGTCTGAAGGAAGTACAGTGGGGTCTGAAATTATTATGCAATTTTTTGGGGGGATATTACACTGAACAAAAATATTAACTAGTCAGGGGCGCAGCCATGTGTGGCCGTGGGAGGGCATAGGTCCACCCACTGTGGAGCCCACCCACTGGGGAGCCAGGCCCAGATAATCAGAATGAGTTTTTCCAGACAAAAGGGCTTTATTACAGACAAAAATACTCCTCAGCACCCCCCCTCCTCAGATGATCCCGCAGTTGAAGAAGCTGGATGTGGAAGTCCTGGGCTGGTATGGTTACACGTGGTCTGTGGTTGTGAGGCCGGTTGGACGTACTGCCAAATTCTCTAAAATGACATTGGAGGCGGTTTATGGTAGATAAATTAACATTACATTCTCTGGCAACAGCTCTGGTGGACTTTTCTGAAGTCAGCATGCCAATTACACGCTCCCTCAAAACTTGAGACATCTGTGGCATTGTGTTGTGTGACAAAACTGCACATTTTAGAGCTGCCTTTTATTGTCCCCAGTACAAGGTGCACCTGTGTAATTATCATGCTGTTTAATCTGCTTCTTGATATGCCACACCTGTCAGGTGGATGGATTATCTTGGCAAAGGAGAAATGCTCACTAACAGGGATGTAAGCACATTTCTGCACAAATGTTTTTAGAAATAAGCTTTTTGTGTGAATGGAACATTTCTGGGATCTATTTATTTCAGCTCATGAAACATGGGACCAACAATTGACATGTTGCGTTTATATTTTTGTCCGGTATATATTATTTTATAGTAATACAATTACTCAGAGAAAGAGATTTTGTTTAACAAGTGATATTTTCTTTCTCAAAAAGTAGGGGTCAAAATTATTGACACCCTTGACACATTTACAAACACATTTACAGGAAGAACTGTGCAGATACAAAGTTTATAATCCGGTAAATTATGTTTTTGTTTTTTTTACTGTGCAAATTGTTGGAAGTAATCATTGTGCATAGAGTTGGATGGTTTGTTATACTTTGAAATCAATGTTTTTTTGTTTTGTATACATTTTAAAGTGAAAAATCTGAGTCTCCGCGTAATTCAGTTACCGTGGAATTGCCCTTGTGTAATAAATCAGGTATCCTTAAAATGAAAATCCTGCTATAATTTGAAACCAAATTTAGATTCAAGAGCTTATCTGATACAAGTCATAAAATGGATTTATAATTATTTGCAGTTATCTTTTTATAAGAGTTTTTCATTCAGGGTTGCATTATGAATATTGCACCATTACAGTGCTTTTCTTACATTAAAACACAGTGACAGTCAGACAGTCTGCTCTCACGGCTCGGAGGATCACGAGAACAGATTGTCGCTCTGAGTAAATGGGGCCCTCTAAAGAAGAATCTCAAAGCCTCATAAAAAGTTAAGTGGAGGGGGCATCGATGGGACAGCCAAGGAGAAACAAAGACAGTCTGAAACAACAGGCCCGGAGCTCTTCAACATTCCACCACACATGCTTCTCTGAATGGTCAGTCACTCCATTGGAGCCGCCCCCTCTGGTACTGGTCCTCCATTTCCAGGAATGTAGCACCCACCTGGGTGATGCCACGGCTGCTGAAAAGCGCACGAAAAGCCACCACATCTTGGCAGTGGTTAGGAGCATTCCCTGAACAGTCCCTGAACTTCCTCTGCTACCTCTGGACACAGCATGCAGTCCTTGGTGTAATTCTTCCAAACAGATTAAACAAAAATCTGCATTATCTATCTATCTATCTATCTATCAAGTCAAAAGATATACTTTTCATCACGATCTTGCAACTCTGAAACTCAAAAAACACTTCGAAATAATTAATAATTAAATGTACAATATTTACAGAGTTCTCTGCCTAGGCTACCTCATACTGCCATGGCAACCACGGAATCTACCATGCTGATTTCTATCAGCCTGTTCATATTTTGCAATCAGTTTGTTTCTTTACAGTTTTTCTCAGTCGCTTTGGTGCATTTCTTAGATCAAAAGTACAATTATTGATACTACTTGTACAAATTCCAAATCATCTAGTCACTTGTGCACATCATTAAAGCAATTTCTTATTCCTTTGAACAAATTGCAATTGCTTTTGTACATATTGCAATTGATAATGTACAAGTGTCAGCTTTTTTCCACATTTTCAATTGCTCATGTCATGTTGATCAAAATATAGTAGATGGTTCTCTGTTGAATAGTCTTACCCCTCAAAACATCTAGGCATTAGTTCCTTGCATAAGCCATTACATGCAAAATTGTTGAACTATTTGTCATAAACTGTCAAGCATAGTTTTACACATTTCTATTAGACCTTTTGTACAAAAACGTAAATTGCTGAATCGTGCAGGTGAAATTAACCCTCACTCATGAAGGAATGTAAAGTGTTAGTTCAACCAACAATCAACCAGTTGTCTAAATTGCTCAAAGGTGTCACGGTTCAGACAGACGACCAGAGGACCACAATTGCGTCACACCAGAAAGTTTATTAAAACTTAAGGGAAAAGGGAAGTAGGGAGTGAATGAAGGCTCCAGGGGTAACAGGGATCCCGTCCAATGTGCTGGGTCTGTGCCCCCCCCAGTGGCAGCGATGCGTCCTATGAAGCCGGTGGTGGGTGGTCCAGAAGTCCTGGTGGGGGGAGACACAGACACAACAGGGCGGAATGAAACAAGGCAGCAGTACAGTTCAAGGGAAATCCAAAATACGTAGTAGCAAGGCAGAAGGCTGGTCAGAGTTACCGGGATTGAAGAGTAGTCAGGAGTCGTTATGGCAGAAGCAGGTCTGGATCTCCTGGGGCAGAAGAGTATCCAAAAATCAGGCAGGTCCGGGGTCACAAAACCAGGGTGAGCCAGAAGCGCGAGCAAACAGGTTCCGGGTGTGAGCTTTGCAGACGATCTGACACCGGAGAGCTGAAAGACAGGGCCTTAAATACTGGGAGAGGTAGTGGGTAATGCAGCGCAGCTGGCAGAGTAATTAGAGCAGAGCAGAGCAGGGACAGGTGGAGCTAGTTAGGCTGAGTAGAGAGAGTGGTGAGCAGAGTGGAAGAAAATTAAGGTGGTAACCCGGTGGAGTGAGAGGCTCATGACAGAACCCCCCCCCCAAGGGACGGCCCCAGAAGTCCCAAGAGCAACACCACGCCGGGCGGGAGGAGGGGAGCCGGAGGAGGGCTAGAACTCCTCCGAACGGTCCGAGTGAACGTCCTCATCCTCGGAGGAAGCCGGAGGGCCGTGGTCGGGAGATGGGACAGGTCCCGAGACAGGATCAGGCACAGGACAGGAAGCCGAGCGGGCAGGACGGTTAGGGACCCCTCTGGGGCGGCCCCTACGGATTGCAGGTTGATCAGGATGCCGTTGGTGGAAAGCGGTGATGAGAGTCCTATCCACAATCCGACTAGCTGGCACCCAGGTCCTTTCCTCAGGTCCATAGCCCTCCCAGTCAATGAGGTACTGGAGACCCCTACCCCTCCGTCTGGACCGAAGCAGGCGGCGGACGGTGTAAACCAGACCACCATCGACGAGCCGTGGAGGAGGAGGACAAGGCGCAGCAGGGACCAGCGGACTCTCATGGATGGGCTTAATCTTAGACACATGGAAAGTGGGGTGCACCCTCAGGGAATTAGGCAGTTGGAGCCGGACAGCAGTTGGGCTAATCACTCTTATGATAGGGAATGGGCCAATGAACCGAGGTGCCAGCTTCTGCGACTCCACCCTGAGTGGCAGGTTCTTCGATGACAACCACACCCTTTGACCAACATGGTAGGTGGGAGCAGGAATTCTCCGACGGTTGGCCCCGGTAGTGTAGCTGGCAACGGATCTGAGGAGTGTGGCTCGGGCTTGTGACCAGGTGCGGCGACATCGACGGGCAAAAGCAAGTGCAGATGGGCAAGTAACCTCCTCTTCCTGGCTGGCAAATAGAGGGGGCTGGTATCCATAAACACATTGGAAAGGGGACATACCGATGGCAGAGCAGGTCAGAGAATTGTGTGCGTACTCCACCCATGTCAATTGCTGCGACCAGGAGTGGGGGTTGCGTGAAGTCATGCATCGCAGTGCCTTCTCGAGCTCCTGATTAGCCCGCTCTGACTGCCCATTGGATTGGGGATGGAATCCGGAAGTCAGACTGACTGTGGCTCCCAGCAGGTGACAGAACTCCTTCCAAAAAGCGGAGGAGAATTGTGGGACCACGGTCAGAAACTACATCCTTTGGCAGTCCGTGGATCCGGAAGACGTGTTCCAGGACCACCTGGGCGGTCTCCTTGGCGGTTGGGAGCTTGGGGAGGGGAATGAAGTGTGCCATCTTGCTGAAACGGTCAACTATGGTGAGAATGACGGTCATGCCACTTGAAGGGGCAGCCCCGTGACAAAGTCAAGGGCGATGTGAGACCAGGGACGTCTGGGCACAGGCAGGGGCTGCAGCAATCCGGCTGGGGGCTGGCAGGACGACTTGTGTTGGTTGCAGATGGGGCAGGCTTGGACGAATTCCCGTACATCCTT